GCCTGTGCCGAGGTGGATGGCACTGGCTGCGCTCTCGTAACTTGTGTTTGTTTCAGGGAGGATTTCTCCATGTAAACCCGCTGCTGCCTTTCCTTCCTCCGGCTCCCGCTGTAGCTTTATGTAAAGTACAGAAAGTGGGATTCCCGCTGAAGCCGGCGCTGCCTTGCCGAGGAAAACCGACTTTAAGTGCAACTGGTTTTATGCTGGTTTTTTACAAGTTGCTCCTAAGGTCCCCGATGCTTTCCGCCAGCAGATGTGCTCCGTTTCGGAGGGATTCGCTGTTGTCGTGTTGCTGTCGCGATCCAAGTGGAGCGCTGTGGGAGACGGGAGCTGCGGGAGCGCTTGCAGCAGCCCCGCTCCGCTTGTCCCGAGCTCCTGAGCCTGGAAGGGGAAAAAGAGGTGCTGGGTAACTGCTTACCTGGAAGGCAGTTCGAGAAAGTGCTGTGAGTCGGTAGCTGGTTTACCAGATGGTGTTCGTGAATTGATTATGTTTTGGTCTGCCTTGATTTTGTTTTTAAACCCGGTTTCCCAAGTCTAGTGAAGCTGTCAAGCCTTTTCTCAGATAGGATGGGATGAAACAAACAAACAAAGACAAAGAAAACCAGTCATGTAAATACTTTCAGCTTTCTGTTGTTGTATTTACAACTCTTTACTAAGATGATATTATTGGAAATCTGTCACTTAAATTCGTGTTAAGAAACGGTTGCTTGGATTATGGGAGTGACGCGTTGACACCAGGCCTGTTGTATTACCTTGCTGTGCCTCTTGAGGTTTTTTTTTTGATCTTTCAGTGAGTTAATGCCACTGCTTTAGTTTATACAAATGATCTGTGTTTACCAAAGGGACGTCTTGGCCGTAGGAATAATTTATGTCTTATTTGTAAGAAGAGGTCCCTCTGTGACCCTTTACAGTTCTGGTTTTTAGCTGCTCACACAGAGAGATCCTATCTAGACAGGCTTTTCACAGTGCAATGTTTTTAAAAATGCAGAATTTTTCTATTTTAAGAAAACGAACAAAGTGCCAAGCTAAATTTAATTACATTGTATTTCTTCTTAAAATAATTATTTGATGTAATCTGGTTGGTACCTTTACCTCAGAATTGATTTGTTACTTGTGCAGAAGAAACAAGCAGTTCGGAGGCCTGAAACTTCCTTCCGCGTACCGCCGGCGTTGGTCTGAAGGTTAATTTTACAAGGATCAGGCTCTGGGGCAGTAATGTGGCAACATGTATTTGCGCAGGTTGTCATCCTTCTTGGCTCATTCTGGTACTGAGCTGTTTTTCCGTGGGCTTTAGTTTTTCAGATGCTAGAGAAGATGTCTGCAAATACAGTGTTTCCTCGTACAGTTTGTTTGAATGGCTGAGGCCCACAAATATTTTACCATCTTCCCCAGCCTATGCCTTTAAAACTGATTCATAGTTATTAATTAATTACCATTAATTAATGAAGTACCATTACAGTTAAATGGTAGCTGTTGTTTTTTGCCCTTTTCTGGATGTGCTAGATACAGGTTTTATAACCTCCTCCTAAGTGAAATGTGATCGAGTGGTTTTTAAAACCTCTCACCAAATGAAATGTGATTCGATCCTTTTCTAAAGCGCTTATACAAATATTTGGAGACATAGCTGTCTAGCAGATAACCGGTGTAGCTTTTATGGTCTTGATCTAGTAAGCTCTGGAGCAATGATTTGGGAAAGAAAGATGTCTGTCTATACGTGTGTCTCGGTATAAATCCATATATAAAAACTGTATATAAAATTCTTATATGAAAGATTGGGTCCCCATTTCTATTCTAGTAAAGAAAGTTAGCTATCCCTTGGGGAGATCGCTGTTTTAAGAAGATGTGGGAAGTCTTTGCCTGATGTTATTTTCTGTTAATTTTAGGAGTCAGGGACACCTTGCGGAGTTCTTGGGTTAGATCTCAAAGGTTGTCAGGGTTTAGTCTTTTCCTGGCTGAAGCAGAAGGTAAGGTAATGGTGACTTGAATTTGAACAAAATTAAGCCTTTAAGATGTACCGTAGCGTACTCTTGTATTATTTGCCTTGATTTATATTCCTGGAGTATCCAAAATTCAGAGTGGCAGCAGTGAGAGCTCAGTACTCAAGGAATAGATTGTTTGGTCCCATTTTTAGAAGTCCTTTTGAGTGAATACTTAACATCCTATAAGGAAAAGAAATACTAGTTTGAGACCTTGTTTTTTGTGGAGGTATCTCTGGAAGCCGTGCTAACATTGTGAAAGATGGAAGTGTGTTTAAAAAAATGTTTCTTTACTACACTGTAAGCCCTGCTTCTGTGGTGTTAAACCAGGTACAACCAGTGGTACTGTTGCAGGTGAGGAGATGGCAGACTGCAGCACCGAGGGGAGCAAGCGGCCAGGACCAGAGGTGGGAGTTTCTTACGCTGGCTTGGCTGTTGAGAAACCTTTAGATACCATTATTGTGGAGACTCCTGTGTATGACCTAAGGAAAACTGATGGGAAGTGGCAAGCTGGAAAGAAGGGCAGAGAGGGCCAACAGGGAACCCAGCTTTTCCTAGGGTATCTCTCTTCTGAGGCCTCGGTATCTCATTAGGCTCTAGAGCTGCCTTTCCCACTGAGCAGAGATCACAGAGGTGGTTGTGACCAGGAAACTGGAATCTGGCTCCGGACTTTGACACGTTTACACGGCACTGACTCTCTCCTGGTCAGGGGTGTCCTGGGGCGTTGGTGCCTGGGAGCTCAGCAGCTTTCTGGTGGCGGGGACCTGCAAGGAATGATCGGAGAAATCCTTTTGTCAGGACTCATTCCTGCCTGTGTGTTTTCCAACTCTGTGGTTGGCTTTGATAAGGTTCTTCCTTATGATTAAATACTACCATCAATAATAATCATGGGATTTGTCGTTTGAATGTTTTGTTAATGGATACTTGGGAAAAAAATCCTCTCCAAAACTCTTCAACTTTTTCCATTTAGTAAATATATGCTTTGAACAATGACAGACAATTAATTTATGAAATCTTGTTTCTGGAGGGCTGCTGACTAATGGGAGAAGCTACTTTGATAGTAACGGTTTTAAACATATTCTTTAAAAATGGATCTATTCATTTGGCAGCTAAAGCTCTTGAGGTTTGGTGCTGGAATGCATTATTGAGCTCCACACTCCCTCATCCTTCCAAAATTTAAAGTCCTAGAAACAGACTATTTTCAATTATAACAGCAGATGTACTTGAGCTCTCTTTCTTGCAGTGAGATTTAGGCAGCTTTCTGACTTCTAGAAAATTAAGGAGAAAATCTGAACTGGTTCCAGTATGTTTCGAAGAGTGGTGGTCACTGAGAGTGTAGTTCTTTCTTCGTCTGCCTTGTGAAGTGCAGCGCTCTGTAAATAAATAGTCCCTCTGAAATAACGTTTTGTTTTGATTTTTTTTAGAGGCATTTACAATTCAGTATTCATAAATGTATCAGAATAAGACTTGAATTACTTCTGGGTATTCATTTTTTTTATCCTCTCATTTTATGAACTAAATTTTTATGTATTTATTTTGCATTAGACCTTGTGGTGATGGGATCGTTGCTTTTAATTTGCAAGTTATTTAAGGATATCATTGGGATTAAGAAACAGTTTAGTCTTGCAACTTTAGCCTTTGACTTTAAAGATGTTACAAGCTCAGCTCTTTAACCCATTTCTTGGGGCTGATCACATTCTTAAGCATAATGGCTGTGGAACTCATAGGGAAAGCTGAGTCTAGAACATCGAAAAAGAAATGTGAAACTGTGTGGTCTGGCAGCCTGTGTGTTGCCCTGGGACTCTGTGTACCGGGACCCCACGCACCTGGGGTCCCTTGTCATTGCTGCTGGGGGGATTTTTATCATCTCGGACAGGTAACTTCTGTTCCTCTGCTTTATCTACTTGCCGGCCAGTCTGCAGGGTTCCAGGAAAGTTCCAAAACGTCAGTGTGGAAGAAGACCCTTTCCCAGTTGAACCTCTTCCAACTGTCCTCCCGCTCCATCAGCCCACAATGCTGAGCCTAGGTCTCCTTTCCATTCTGTCTGGTGTCAAGCTACTTTTGAGGTCCTCTCCTCCTCTTTTACTTCTGGGCATCTTTTCCTGTAGCTGTTCCTCACAATCCATGTTGGCAAGAGGCTGTAGCTTAGGGGCAGGGCTTGTCTGTGTCAGGCTAGGGCTCCGTCACAAACCCTTGTGGCATGGCAGATTTCCCCCTACTTCATGGTCTGGTTTTATGCAGGTAGAGGGTGATGTCATGAGCGTTAGTTCTCTCCTGGCTCCAGAGCTATTCCACTGGCCATGGGTTTTAAAAGCTGTATTCCCAGATCTTTGCAGTAGTTTTAGGAGTCTTTATTTTTGAGAAAAGGCTTTTCAAATTTATTTCTCTCATCCAGTTACATTGAGTCTTTTTGCCTGTGCTTTCCTCAACTTCGCTTCCTAGTGTATGTATTTTACGTGTACCTATTTTAAATGCGGTGGTTGGACACTTGGCCCAGTGTAAGGAGGCTCAGACTCTGGGAAGGGATTTCAGGATGCAGTTCACGTTTTAAATAATATGAAAGAATGTGCTCAGATGTCACAGTGCTTTGTAAAAAGCCTGGTGGGAGCGTAGGGTGAGTAGGGAGGATGGCTTTTGAGTCAGCTGTGCAGAAAATGAGCTGTTCCCTTAAAGCATCTGTTCTTGCCCTGTCTGGATCTTGCACGTGGATATGCATGGACAGACTCCAGTGCCCCCATGTAGCCAGTTTCAACATTTGAGTTTATGCACCCTCTTTTTTTTTAAAAATTATTTTTATTTCAAGTTAAAAGCTTTACTGAGCTTTAGTGGGAGGAGAAGCGGGAGAGAAGTATGCAATGTGGCGTGAAAGGCAAAAGGTTATCTTTTCAGTTGTAGTAGATCAAGTGAGGAGAGTGGCTTTCTCTGAGGCTTGACGATGTCGTCGTCCTTGGTGAAGGGAAGAAGGTGGCAATGTGTTAAGGAAAGTACCAGAGAGATGACAAGAGAAGGTGAAAGTAAATGTAGCTGAAGCTGGAGTACTGGCATTTTCTGTAACTCAGTCAGCTGACAGCTCAGCTGCTCCAGTATTCTTCCTCTTCTCAGTCTCCTGGCGTGTTTGGAAGAGATTTGCAAGTAGAAATTTCAAAGCCAGAATTTATTGGGAACTCCTGCCTCGTCTTAGCGAGGGGCCATTAACAAGAAGCAACTCCTTGTGACCACCTTGGTTTTTGTGTGTCTGTGAAGGATTGAGTGGTGGCCACTAACTAGCCCCGTGAGGGCCATTTTCGGAAACTCGGTCATCTTGGAACAGGAGTAGTTCTGCTCCGTTAATGCAGAAACAGGGTCTGGAAAATGATCAGCCAGATCAGCTTTTAAGGAGGAGAAACTTACTGCTCCTTGATCCTTCAGAGATCTCCAGCCCCGCTGTCAAACGGAATCTGCGTTACGTCCCACACCGTCTGATGACTGCTGTATGAATTACTTGATTACCCAGAGTCTCTGTTAGGAAACTGTATTTATGTTCCCTTTGATATTTGAAAGATTGTAGTTGTGTTGTGCATGGAACCATCGCAGTGAGGAGCCCTTTCTTGGGGCGAGTCACACTAGAGGAGTACGTACTTGAGACGTGTGTACTGCGTTGTCTCTAGAAGAGGTTGTGTCAAGACGAGTGAGTGTGAAAATTCTCTTTCACTATTCTGGGGAATTTGTTTTAAGTCTTCTACTTAAAACTCACTGCTGTGCTGCTTCTAGGAAAGGGTAGTTGAAGATAGGGAGCGAGGGTGAGGCAGAAATAAATTTCCATTTTATTTTCTTGTTAAAAAATGAATTAAAAGCTGAATTTGACATCAGGAGCCCTGAAAAATCAAGGTGATATGATGAATGTCTGAGTGCTAGCCTTAGCTTGATGAATGTTCTTAGTGTAACAGGTAGCACACAAAAATGAGAAGAGAATGTTGTATTTGATCCAAAGCATGAATTAGAAGGACAGCATCCTGAAGATAAGAGTGTGTCCAGAGACAACACTAGTGTAGAATGACTTTTTTCCACATTTACATTTTAAAATGGAAATAAATTTTGTTTTTAAGGAAGGACAGTAGGGTAGAAGTGGTCATCTTCAGGTGCAGAAATGGAGAGAATTTGAAATGTAGAGCGATGTTTCTCTGACTTGTGACTATTCAAGTTTGACAAGGATTTGGCGAGGGCAGAAGGAGGGTAGAGATATTCTGCGTGGCTTCCAGGTGGTTTTCCCCAGGAAACCAAAATGACCAAATGAAGATTGCTGTCTCCAGAATAGAGACTGTCTGCTTGGCTGCAGAAACTTGGAATGAAAAAACTTGTAACCTGCTGCTGCCCTGAGTGTGGTTTGGTTTTTTTTTTCCCCTCTCCAGATAGGCAGCAGGCAGCACTTGCTTCCTAAAAGAAAGCGCATCAGGCTTGTGCTCAACAGCTCCACTTGAGAAGTGTGTGTAAGGGTGATTCAGCTTCTAAAGCGTGGCATTCTTTGAGACGGATCTGAGTGGGAAACTGAGGATAGAAAGGGGGATCGTTCCTTGCCCAAGGTCGGTCAGGGTTGTGTGATGCAAGAGAGAATATTTGGCAGTTATTCTTTGTTAGTCTGTTTCTGAGTTGCTAGTGGGAACTCTTCCAAAACAAATCTAGTCCAATGGTCTAAATGCTGTATTTTGTAGTTTACTTTCTGTGTTGCTGCTTTTGAATTAGTTAATGAATTTCCTACTTCTGTCACAAGTGGCTTTTTAGGAGAACTCATTGGTGGTCTTCCAAATGTTTTTGGCAGCAAGACGCTGCTACTCCCTGCTCTATGTGACCCCGTTCGCTTCAGTGAATGGCAGAGGTAAAAGGTAGTTGTTGGAAGGTTCTTACCTATTTTCCTGCCTTAGGATAATGTTAAAGAAATTTGAATGTAATTCAAAATGCTGATAGGGATCCTGGCTTGGACCTCTTTGGAGAAGATGGGTAGACTTTGCTGTAGACAGGACAGTCAAAAGAAGTGAAGAGGTCAAACTGAGGAGCTCACCAAATGCAGCTGTCTCTGGGAGAAAGAGCTGGGTTGGACAGGAAAGCCTTTTCCTGTGTTAAGCGCATCTGTCCTTTCCAGCACTGTCTTCAAAAGTTGTAGAAGGAAAGGTAGACATCTTGGTTTTCCTGTAGATGTTTTAGTGAAGACCATGTAACCTCTATGTAGCTGCTTTCAAAGTGCTGTAAAGAGATAAATACTCAGTTTGCTGAAGATGTAAAAAGCATGACAATGGTGAAATCTCCTCAAGCATTTGGTCTTGCAGAGGAGTTAGAGATGATGGATAGTGGCTTGATGCAGAGAAAGAAACTCGTTTTAGAGAATGTAGGAAGTAGATGTAGAAGCTTTTAATTATGTTCAATGTACAGGCATAATCTAGGCCTATACACTTCTCTCCGTTCTCAGTTAATTTGATGTCAATATAAGGCTTGTACAGCAACAGGAATTGATTTTTCTTTTTCTTGTTCCACCAGAGCTCTTGTCATGATAATTATTTGTTCACTATCTTTTCTCACATTCAGACATCTCTTTGGGAAAATATATTCTCCTTGAGGATCAGCACAGTTTCTATTATTTCTAAACCTTTCGCATCCTTTCACTGTTTTTTCAACCCTGTTTTAGCATCTTGTGTCTTTAAACAGTAGCTTCCATTTCACTTTTCATCTCTTTCCTTACCTTCAGTCTCATCATCTAAAATAATTTGCAGTAGAATGTTTTGTGCTGACACTTAAATGCCATCACCAGGCTTCACATGGTTTATATTACAGTCAAGTGAAAAGAATGGTATTGGTCATGGGGAGGCATGCTGCTTGGAAGCATTTTCAGGCTCAAAGCTTTTTAGCATAGTCTAAAAGTGAAATCCGTGCAAGCTAATCTTGAAAATGCAAGTGATATGAATCTCATACTTGGGACAACTCAAAACGTATGTGTATGTAAACTCCCTTAAATGTCATTTTACGTTTTGCGGTGTCTAGGTGTGTCATGCAGGCCAGAAACATGTCACGTGATCTGGATCTAGCTCATGGGTTTCTCCTTGGTAGAGTGATTCTACTCTGTTTAAATGTCACTGGATTTTGAGACCATCACCAGTACTGAACTGTCTGCCACATCCTGGTTGAATGTCCCACCCATCAGGCTCTTGGCTTTTCTAGGGCCGGGCCACTGTACACTGAAGTGTTCATTTCCCTCTCCCCCAACCACTTCTAACAGTCTCTTTCACATCAGTAAAACTAATTTTTTTTTCTTTCTCTTTTTTATTTATTAAATAATCTTGTTTTTGTATTATCTCAAGTTAAAGGCTCAGATGTAGTATCTGTACACTAAATGCAAGTGTACTGCTTCTAACTGTTCCTGCTTGACTGAAACACCTTGAGTGTAAGGAGTCAGTACAGCATGAGGTCCCCTTAGGAATTTCAGCAGTTGTTTGACCATGCAACTGGTGTTAGAGGGAAGGACAAGAAAATGCTCTCCCGTAGAGGGTGCAGGTGACTTGCTAGAAGGTAGCTCACTACAGACAGATTTGGCCCCAGCTCGCGGGGTTTTTTTTTTGGTTTTGCTTTTAATTTGTCTTATAAAGTACTTAATGCATTTTGATATGAAGCATAACTTGCTAATGAGACCATACTTGCTATTTGGGAGAGTTTGTGAGAACATGTCAATGTGATCACCATGTTCTGAAATAGTGGTTTCTGCAAAGTGCTAAATGAATTCACATTGATCTTACGATACTGGAGGGTCTGGCTTTTGTCTTTTGGTACACAGGAGGCCTCTTTCAGCGCTCAGTGGCTTTGATAGAAGTGTTAGCAGGCCCCAGCTGTGCTACAGACCTATTTCCATAGGTTCTGCATGTACGTGTTCAATTAATGCATGTTACAGAGCTGTTTTTGGTGCTTCTGTAGTGCTGTTAGACATCACAATTTCATTTTGCTTTTTACCCTTGACTGCGTGCCCCCCTGAGACGTGTGTTATTATGACTTGTGAACATCCTGGGAGGCTGTACCTCTCATGGCAGTGCAGCTTCTGTCTGGAGTATTGACCTTCCCAGAACCACGTTCATTAGTGGTCAGCATGGCCTCCATGGTTAGTTTTACCACCCCACCACTCTTTCAGAGCCATCTGTAGATTATCAGGCTATTTTCTTCTTGCTGGGAGCAATTTGGATTTGATTTAAAATATTCTCTGAGAATTACAGTGCTGCTCAACTTTTTTCTTTCCAAGGTACTCTTCCACACCAAAGTATGCTATGAGTGTAACTTGTTATAGCCTCCATCCCTTTGGACTACCTCTTGTCTTAAGGCCCTCAGCTTTTTCTTCATGGTGTGCCTGTTACACATCTGGGTGTCATCTGCCATTAGGCAGTGATCCCACTGTTGTGTGACTGTCACACCAAAAGACCTTTGTTTGGTGCTGCTGAGAACCGCATGAGCCCTGGAGAAGGGAAATGTTACTTTCTTCCACAGTCACACAGCTAAATCTTTATTTGTTAGCAAAAAAAGAAAGTAGTGGAAAGGACTGAGACAGCTGATACAGAGATTTCTGACTGTAGCACTCTTGCACCTTCAGAGAGCATTGCTTTCTGGCAGAGGTATGTAACTCGGAAGTATTAATTTATGCAACTGCTTGGTACAAGGACAGTGCTTCGGAGGAATCACAGTACAAGTATTTTTCCCTTCCCAGACTTTACAAATCATGCTCTTTATGTAGCCATGTGGATGTCACTTAAATCCCTATTGAGTAGTCTTCGTTTAAGTGGAGGGAGTGCTTCCACATACAGAGTTTCATCTTTGGTCATCCTTGTTGCCTTTCACTGAACTTTTTCCTGTTCTGCTCTAGCAGAGAGTATTAAATGCAGGGTAGGTTTATACAATAGCATAGTGATAGTCTCAGTTTTGGCCTCTTTTCCTTTCCAAATAATCCTGAGCGCTCTGTATACTTCTGTGGGTATAGTTTCTTTTCTGCTACTGATGAGTGAGCTGGTGTCTCCACAGAACTGTTTGTTCTAACATCAAGATCTTTCTCCTGGGTGGCAGTGAGCTGCTTGGGGTCCAGTCCTGCATGTGCGATGCTGGGATTGGCTTCCCCAGATGTGTTCCATTTCGCTTGCCGTTTTATTATGCAGTCATTTAGTCTGTTAATTCCTCATGGTTTCCCGCATTGGCACTACCTTGAATAACTGTGAGTCACTGGCAAAGTCTCACCTCGCTGTTCATGCTGTTCCAGATCATAGATGAATACTGAATGAATACTGATGAATACTGGCACGTGTCCCAGCACGGAGGCCTGCAGAACTGCGCTGTGACCTCCTCCCTCCTATTGCAAGAATGGAAAGCCTGCTCCTCCCACTTCCTATTTTTAGCCAGATGTTTACCCATGGAAGGACTTTCTTAGGCTGTAACCGCTAATGGTTTATGTCACAGCTGCTTACCTCACTGACAATGAAAGAGAGTGGACTTGCTTATTCTTTCATGTTTATCTGGTACACTGTGGACTCACCAGTGAAAACACATCACAAATAATAACATGATAAGAAAATCTTCAACTCTTCTGTCTGGAGTCTAGTGTATTATGGATATTGATCCCCAGATCAGTCATGGCTTATGACAGATGAAATGCAGTTTGGTGTAGTTCAATGTAGAGGTTCTGCTGTTATGCTGAGTGAGTGACGTGCCAACGTCGGCTCGCCAGGACCACAAGATGGAGTTTCCTGTGTGTACTTTAACACGTGTTATATATATGTTTGAATATACCTTATTTTCTTGTGTATACTTTAAGACATGTATTTTATAGATCTTTGAATGTAGCTTGTTACTACATGTGACTTTTTTTATGTTTCAGAAGTGTTTTGTACCTATGAAAAATGGGCAGAAACATTGCTGTGGATCAGCAATGCTATCCAAGTGCCAACTTCATTTCAGTGGAACGTCTGGATTTCCTACAAGTTCTTAGTACCTGGAAGAGTAATTTAATGGATTTTTATGAATAAAGGCAAATGTCTAGAAAATAATTTCTACTTACCAAATGGGCTTTTCTCTTCCTGGTGTAACTCAGGTGTAATATCTTTGCTGAGGCCTCTTCTGCTGGATGTCGCCCCAAATATTCAACACACTGCTGCTTTGGCTCTTGGGAGACTTGCCAATTATAATGATGACCTGGCAGAGGCAGTCGTGAAGGGAGACATTCTTCCACAGCTCGTGTGTTCATTGTCTGAGCAGAATGTAAGGCATCATTGTTTTCTTAAGTAATCATTTTTTTAACTATTGCACAGGAAAAGGGAACTCTTTCTGTATCAGCTGTCTGCTGTTAGTCCAATATAGCAGTAATTGCGCGGAAGTCGGAGACAGCATGTGTGTTTGAACCCCTGAGAGACCAATGTGTACTGTGTGCCTAAGTGTGACTTCAAATAAGCTTGACTTTAAAATATCATCTTACCTTTTAGTGCACTATAGGAAATATATTCATGGCACTGTTATGTTTCTAAAATATTGAGTGATGCTTTATGAAAGATCCCTGTTTAAAAATGAGACAATTTGAAAGCTGTAGTGATAATTGACTAGGATTTGTTGATAATGCCAAACACTTGTAGAATACATATAAAACACTGAAGTTTTGTAATGAAATATTTAATATTTCCAAACATAGCCTTTTTGAAATCTGTAGCATGAGAAATATCAAACTACTGACACAGGAAAATACGCTGAAAGGTTTTCATCTTTGTGTTTGTCAGAAACAAACAAACAAAAAAAGTGAAGTCACAGTGGCAATGTAAATAAATGTAGTGGTCTCCTTTTCTTCCTTCTTGCCATTTTTCTTCAGGTTTTGCTTGTATTGCAGCTTTGATTTTTCCAGTGATCCTAACCTAGATTAACAGGAACCTTATTTGAAAGTATTTCTAATAACTGGAAAGAGAGAGCTGAGGGTTAAGTGCATTGGCCATGCATCACAGCCATACTTAGGTTGCAGTTTTGATTTATTAGATTTAGGAGAAGTAGGATTTGAGTGGAAATATAATTTGGAAAACTATATGTATTTTCATTTTCAGTCTTTTAAGGAAAACGTGAATGTAAGTGCTCATTGCATATTTTTTTGTGCATATAGGTCATTGCCTATAGAATTAATCTTAAACAAAAAAAAAGCTAAAGAAATTGGTGTCAAGATACTGGTATAGTATGGAAGGAAAGTTAAGGTTTTAGTTAAACAAGTTTGTAACTATTTTGGTTATTTTATTTTTATTTTTAAGGGAAGAAGGGGAACAAAACTCTTTATCCTCTGTTTTGGTTTGGAAACTACCCCCCTGCTACTACTCAAAGCCCTCACTAAATTAGCTTGAGTACCCTGATTTATCTCTTCCATGTTACTGCCCGTGCTGTGCTTACATCGAGATGGCTGTAATTCAGAATCACTTGGGGCAGCAGCAAGATTAGTGTGAGGTCATGGAAAGCCTACTATGCCTTGGTGACTGAGGGCAAGTGAAGGAAACTCATTATCCAGTTCATGCAGAGTTTAGCAATGCATGCAGTTTGTGACTTCCCATAGGCAAAAAAAACCCCCAACCCAGATACGTTTCCATTCCACTTACTCTTTGTGTACCAACATCTGTATTTAAGGAGCCGATTCTTTGAGCACAGAGTAAATACTGACTCTACAGATTTATGGAGAACAGTTACAGGGTCGCATCCCAGATCAATGTTTTGTCAGTTAAACTGAGCAAAATACAGTTTTACAGTGTTTTCTGACTGTGCCTGTGAATATGGTTTGTTTGTAAATAAATGTATTTTGAATAATAAAAACAAAGAAGTGTGTTTCTTTGCCAGGAGCATAATTACACTTAATAGAAATAACATACTTGTATTTGCACAGACATAGACTGGTGTAAACAACTATAGCTTCACTGAGTTCAGCAAAACTTACTATGACTTGCATTAGCTAGGGATTTGACCAGTTGCCTGTACTGTTTCCCTTAACTTCTGTTCCCCCTAAATGATGTTTAATGCTTTGCTTGTAAATTATGTTTAATGTATCTGCTTGTAGGCTTTGACTTAGAAGACTGGATGTTTGGCATTAAGCAATTGTATCAGCACTCATGAACTGCGGAGGGTTAGGGCATGCGTTTGAGCACCAGAAGATGACTGTGCTCTTTAATCTTTAATGTGTTCGCTGATGTGGTTTTAGCCAATGCCAACCGTGAAAGTACTCAGCAACGCCTGGGCATGGTGTAGGGGATAGCACAAGGCAGGGACAGTTTCAAGTGGTATAGATAAGGCCGTTGTGCTTGGAGGGAAGAGGAGTTCAGGGGGATGGATGTGGTATGCTGTGTCAATCCCTGCCAGGGCTGGGGAGAGGGCTGGGGTCCGTTTTGCTTCCCATGGAGCTGTTGTAGACACTCCTCTGCTGCCATACCTCGGTGCTTTTGATCAGACTTTTGAAGGTGTTTGGGCACCTCACAGGATGCACAAAAGCACTCACGTGGTTCGTTGTTTTTCTGGGCTTGGTCCAAAAGTTGAGCACTGTGAAGTGCCCAGGCTACCAATGCAGAGTAAGGGATAATCCAGCATCTTGGAATGAGATTAAAGCCAGCAGGCACAGAGAGCGAGCCCTCCAGAGCTGGTCTGGAGGGCTGATCTGTCAGCTGCCAGGCTGGAGAGCGTGCTCTGGGCACAAGGACGGAGCAGTAAGTTATCTGTGTCCTAGTGAATCTTGCACCCATTGCTGCACAGTGCCTTCAAAAGGGAGTTGAACTGCCTTTCTCCCAACACAGTTGTCTGTGGCCAGAGTTCTTTAACTGGGCTCTGGATTTTGAGGCAGAGGAAGAAATTTAATCTTCAGCTTCCACATCCCAACGATAGCTGTGAAACTGCAGGAGACCGAAATGTGACTTTGGGGGGACGACTTTAACTGTGCTTTTAGAAGAAACCACAAGCACCGCTGCAGTTCACGTGGAACCCTATGATGTGTGCAGCATCGTACATTATATATAATGCTCAAAACATGTATTTGGTCCAGCACTGAGGGAGATGGCTAGAACAGAGCCAAGTGCTTGCATTTTGCTTGAATTTGTGAGAGAGATCTCAAGCTACTTAGCCCTGGAAAAAGTGAGCTGTTTCTGGACACACGCAGAATTACATGCTGCCCAGTCAAAACTGAGGGTCATCCAGTGTAGGGTGTTTGGGGGGATGGGTTTTCAGGATCTTAGCTGGGGGCTTAGGCCATGTTTAGGCATTTCAGGATTCAGATCCTAAACTCTTTTGTTGGATCTAGTTCTCTGTGCCTCTGTTTCCTGTTTGATAGTATAAACAATGTTTTCTCATAGAGATGTTGTGAAGTTATATACCTTAGAAATTGTGAAACCTTGCCAGTGTCACAGATAGGTAGAATTATTTTAGGAGCTTGCCCCGCATAACCTGTGTAATTTGGTTAAATATGTTAAGAGTTATTGTTTTTGCAGCTCTTATCATTCACTACTCACTTAAACAAACAGACTTATCTAGATTATTATCTTTTCCCTATATCCTTTTAGGCCTCTCATTTTTTTTGTTTGTTTATGCACTTACTGCAAATTTTAGATCATGAGCTGTCTCAGAGAAGGACAGTAAGGTTCATTGTGTGATGTCTGGTGGTCCTGCCTTGGATCTGTATGAGATATTGCTGCTACTAAAAAAGCCTAGTTTATGCATGTCTGTACTGTATTATGCTTTGAGCTACTTAATGTTTGTAAAAGCTTTTTTTTTTTTTCTCCCCTTTTCTGATTTGTATAGCGTTTCTACAAGAAAGCAGCTGCATTTGTGCTAAGAGCAGTTGGTAAACATTCTCCACAGCTTGCTCAGGCAATAGTTCAGTGTGGAGCACTGGAAATGCTTGTGATTTGCTTGGAAGATTTTGACCCTGGAGTCAAAGAAGCTGCATCTTGGGCGCTTGGGTATATTGCCCGACACAATGAAGGTAACAGGTTTCACATGTGTTATCTTTCAGCTTAATGCTATGTAAGAGTTACAATAAATTGCATAATTGTAATATTCATAAATATAACAAGATGCTTTTTCTTCTCTACTCTTATAAAATTTTAAATTTGGAATTAAAACCTACTCTAACTATACCAGTCTGACAATGCTGTGCCTTTTGTGGGAAACTGGCATGTGTGACACCAGCAGTGGCCGGTTATGAGAGGTGCTCTAAGAGGAGATGCTTTGGGCCTGTGGCCAGGAAAGGACACTCTGCTTTATTGTCCTTCGTGAAGAAAATTCCAAATCTTTATGTATCGTGTAACTGTTACTGTGGAACAAAGTTTCTCAACGTTAGTTCTTATTTTATATACGTGCTAAAATGGAGAAGCCTAGGCAGAACCAAGTTTCATTCAGCTTACAGCAGTGCCTGCCGGGTGAGCATGCCAAAGTCATCGCACTGACTGTAGTATTGTTAGCCAGTAGGCCAGTCTTCTCTGAGAGTCAGGAATAGATCCTAGGAATCCGGTATCGAGCAGTTCGTCGCTGTCTCACAAGCAGTTGTATAACTTGCTGGCAGTGTCGTGTTCCTATTTAAAAGCTGATCCACGTGGTTGATAATTCTTTTACCAGCTATTTATATAGTTCAAGTAAAAAAAAGTTTAGAGCTATGAATCAAAGAATTGAGGGAAGAAACTGCTGGCTGGAAAGGGTGGGCGAAATGGCTTGTGTTCATATTGTTTGAAGAAACTTATTCTAGGATCATAACATTAACTCATGCGTTTATGTTTAGTTTTGGCTCTAAAATGTACACAGACTGAATTTGGAAGTTTTTTTTTTTTAATCGATATGGAGTGTTGGACTGTAGAAGGCATGGGGTATTTCCCCTTCCCACTTACGGAGAGGGTTAACTTACTGGGACAGAGTCCAAAGTTGTCAGCACCTTCCTAACAGACTGCTTTTTCTGGGGAACAAATTCATTCTTCAGGCACCTCTGTGTGCTAAAGATCTTTTATCTTTTGGTCTCTGGGTCTGAATCCCGCCCTTGGTGGAAAATAATTGTTGCTTCTATCTGAAAGTTACTTGTTTAAGTGTCATTGGAAGGCATTCCTTTGTATAAATGTGTGTAGTGTAAGTGTGTGTCTGTGTTACTCTTAATATAAACGTTTATGTAGTTTTGTTATGTCAGTAAATCAATATTGACTCACTTCAATTGCTATTCACTGCATGAATGCTGGCTGATCTTTAGGGTGATCCAGTTCACTGTGATGGCATTGTCTGCAAAGATGGAGGTGGGGTGGGAGTATCGAAGACAACAAAATCCTTGTACAAATTTTTATTCTGTGTTTATGAATTATTTATTCACTGACAGTGAATGGGTGCATGTCTTATGTCAATTTACACCAGCAATAAGAACAGCATTTTCAGAAATTAGGTTGAAATTGTGAGTGCTACCAAGCTGCATGCATCAGGACGTAGATAGATCACTAGATGTAATCAGTTAAAAAAAAAAACAAACAACACAACCAAATAAACAAACAAAAAAAAAACTCTGAAAAAAATTGTTCTTCCTCTGCCCAGCTATGGCCAGTTTGGGGGATTTACCTTCTTCTGTAACACAGTGACAGGAAGTCTGGAAAACGATTACTGAAACTAGAGGAGTTATACTGAAGAAAGACCACTCTGTGCATGGTGTGTTTCTTACACTCCCACAAGCATGCCCTTGCAACAGGATATTCTTGGAAATGGGATACAAAGATAGATGGACCTGTTCTTACCAACATCTGGTGTTTACTGTTCAAGAAACTCTGGATTACGCTCACATGGTTGTGTTGACAAAATTTGGCATTTATGATTTTCTGTCATTGACTGTCTGTGGACACATATTGCAGCTTAAACTCTAAAAATAGAGTGTGAAATGATTTTCCCCACCCACAAAAGGTTTTTCGGTTTCAAAAATTGTTTCAGTTCCAAAATGGGACAACATTAAGACAAGATTTTTTTTTTCCCCTCTCCTGAAAATGCTGGGGGGGTAGGGAGGCTTGTTTGCCCCAGCAAGAAAAGTTCAATAATTGGCCCATATGTCTGGGATGTATGTGGGAGACAGATTAAAATCCTGATCTGTTTTAGGCAGGTTATGAGCCCCCTGTCTCCTCGAATGCAAGCAAAGGATTCCAGCATTTGGTGATAACAGTTTGCAATGGCAGGATCTCTCTGCTTTTAATCAGAAATTCTGTCCATGACCTGGTGAAGCTGCTCTCTAGGAATGGCGGTGTATGTTCCCATGAAAAGGCTTCCATTTTGAGAAATCACGACTTCTTTTTTTTTTTGTTTTTTCCTGATGAAAACATTCTCTAGTTAGCAAGTTCCCTACTGTCTTCATGCAACAATCTCTTAAAAAGGGGTTCTTCTGTGAACAGCTGTCTCCAGAAGACCTGTGAGATTTTAGGTTAAGACAGAGGTCTCATGAGATTTCAAGACACTGAAATCTTGCCAGGTCAGATTCAAAAATTTAGGAACAGCTCTGGCAGTTCTGCTCTTTCTTAAGGATCTCTTTGAGCTGATCTTACTCCAAAGTACACAGATCGGTGTGCTATAATTTTGCCATTCATTATTTCTACTATTTGTGTTTGCAAAGAAGTGCAAGTGTTTCGAATACCATCGAAATACCATCAGGTCCATGAAAATTTTTACTCATACCATATTTAGTTACTTTTAAACTGCAAAATTCTTGTGTTTGAGATGTGCAAATAACTCAGCTTTCCTTTTGCTTTGCCTACGTAAAAGGTGTAATTTATTAATTGACTCTTACCTGCTTCAGCATATTGTATATTGGTAGGAAAACGAAAATAAACACCACTATTTATTCTGAAACGTATTGCTGAGAGCAGAGTTACGCTCATCTTCTGTCATGCAGTGGTACTCTTAGGACCATAGGATAGCTCAGCTTGGAAGGGACCTCGTGAGGTCCGTAATAGAGCTTCTTGCTCAAAGCAGGGTCAGCTACCAGATTAGACCAGATTGCTCAGCTCTTCAGTGGTCTGAGTCTAGCAGTAACTGTGCCTGATTCCAGGGTCTAACCTTGCCCCGCAATTAATGACATCCATCCTTCTCCTCATGAAAGGTTTTCCCACTGGTTCCAGTGGAATCTGTAGCACTGTGGTTGTAGTGGTCTGCATAAACCTGTGATTTTAAAGTGCAGCCTTTGGACTACTTGTGGGGATTAGAGTCTTCCTATGTGGCCATTACACGATCACACAGTCCTCAGAAAAATACAGTATTGGTGGTTGTTTTGGTCAAAACCTGTGATTTCCTGTGGATACACCTGCCACCACAGCAGGGTCTGTTTGAGAACCCTGGTCTGGACTGAAACTTGCATTTGCTTCCATGCAAAGAGGGCTTTGCTGGTGCTCCACTATGTGAAGATGGCATTTGTTCAGATCTGATTTTCTCTTTCTGGCGACTATCTGCACATTCGCTTTCTCACCTCCATCTTTTCTCCTTAATCTTTTTTTATCCATAGTCTTATTGCCAACATGTTAATGTTAGCATGGATTTTTTTTTTTTTTTTTTTTTTTCTGGTAACACCTTAGACCAGTTTAGATCGATCCTGTAAGACTTCCCATTGACTTCAGTGGGTATGTATTGACTCCTCTTCATTCACTTTCCACTCTTCCTGATCACATAAACTCATGACTAGGCCTCAACTTACTTTGAATTAATTTATTAGTCCCTGATGAGTACTTTTGTATTGAGACAAATCAGTACAACTCTAGTACAACTTCTAGTTGAACTGGTGACAGTTTAAACTCCAGAGTCTTTCTTTATCAGCCTTTCTTCTACCTCCATGTCAGTCTGTCTTCATGTCTGCAGTATCTCCGTTTGTTAAAGTCTTCCTCATACTGTTCTGTACAAAAGCAACTAATTTATGGTGGGTTTGGAGTCTTAGTTCTCTTGTCCCTGAGCATATGTAGAACAGCATTTCGTACTTTCACTCACATAGGGAGAAGTCCTACTTCATCATCATGTAGTTGGACAGGTTCCTTGAGCTGCACCCCAAACTGAAGTTCCAAGCCCCGAGTTTTTATAACTTTCTGTGGAATTAAGTGAGGTTCATAAATTAGTTTCTCTGCTATCTTACTTCTCTTCAGCTATCGGTCTTGTGTTTGCCCTTATAATGCAGTCTTGGCATACTGTTCAGAAAAGTCTTTTTGTAATTTGTTCTAGCTCTTTTAACTTCTTTGACTGAATATTTGTTTTTAAAAAATTCTTCTTGACAACTGTATTTTCTCCTTCAACTCTTTCTCAGCCTTCATTTTTTTTACCTCTGTCTGTGTTTTGTAATTAGATAGCAAAGTTTCATGAATCCTTTGGTGTACAGTCTGAATTAAAGATGTTCTACTGAATGGGAAGGTTGGTTGAGCCTGTTTTTGAGAAAAAAGAATTACAATTGTCATAGAATCATCAATACTTAGAAGTGTAGTTTTGAGCTGAGTTTACAGGAGAATATGATGGGAAGATCTATGTTTTCTTTTGTCGCTGCCCCAGCTTTTCTGTTTTTCTGACAGTCTGTTTACTGCTTGTCTGTCTTTTGACACATGGTCCAGCCCTCCATGTGGTAAGTTATTAGCTGTGAACCTTATAAACACCACTGGAAGAATAACCATTTAATTAACCATGACCAACAGTAACCATCAGTATTTAAATGATATCAGACTTCTAACAGCAAGAGCTGATCTAAATTGAATCAGATTTAGTTTTCTCTTTTAAAATAGCTTTTATGATTATTTTTGCATTCCTGGGCATAGCTGTGACCCTAAAGTGTTGCTCTTTCTCTCCCTACTTGAACTTCATGATTTCAGCTCATAAGGCATGAAGGAAATGTGTTCTTCTAGTAGTATCTTGTCCCTCTTGATGTGATTTTCCTGATACTAGTATCTCCTAGCAGACTGTAGGCAATTGAGTTGGTTGCTCTGAAGTTGCTTCTGAGGCACAGTGAGATGGATTAATCTGGACGGTTGGTCAGTAGTTCATGATGTATTTCACTCGGTCAATGTACAGCATAAAATACAATTTGAAGAAGTCAAGAATGGCTTTTTCCATGAAAAGCTGAATGTACCTTATACCACTTATATTGATTAGCTAGTTTTCGGGTTTGTTTTCAGATACGTTTCAGGTACGTTTCATTTCAAATTTGTACAACTGAAGATGTAGCATCTGGGTTTTGTTGAAATCTTATGATTTGTGTGTATTTGGGGGATGCACACTCTACATGTTCAGTCAAATAGTTATTTGAAAAATGAACCTTGAAGGGTTAATTTTGTATTAGTTTAGAAAGGACTGCATTATTATAATTTTGTGAGGTAATATTTATACTTTCTTTAAAATATTGTATCATAAAATAACATACAGTGTAAATATTTGACTTATCACATGTATTGGAGTGTGTAGCTGTAACTCACTAATTGAAAACAAATCTGGTCAGGAACATTATTTGGAAATTAACAACGTAATGATGACATGACTTACAGATTTCATGAAAAACTGTATTAGTCTATGTATATTTAATGAAGTATGCTATATTTTTCTTAGTATGAAAATCTCTTTATAGATGGAATATAAATCAAAAGCTAAGTTAGAGTCTTGAAATACAACAGCCGTATGTTGCCATGGTACTGTAAGTCAAGATAAATGTTAAAGATAATAATGGATATGCATAATAAGATGTAGCAAAACTGAACTAAGAACCTAATAGATTATTGAATCCCCCATAATTTTTACCACTTTTTCAACACTATTTTGAAATAGCACAGCTTGGTTATAGTATAAATTTTGCTTCTGATATTCAGTAACTCTTATTTTAGGACTGTGATTAATGCTGCATACACAGAGAGCTAATGAATTTCTGATAGCATAATTTTTGTCCGTGTCAGCTAATAATATGCTCAGTTTGTTTTTGTTGGTTTTTTTTTTTTGTTTGTTTGTTTTTTTAAGTTAAGATGCAGTTAGTTAAGGATATTGTACTAATCTCAGGCACACAATATCCTACTGATGATATTTCTCAGTTGTGTAATTGTGTAAGACAACATTTTCATGTTATTTAAGTGTAAATTCTGTCTCGTCCCATGTATAGTAGGAAAACCTGGTTTTGATCAGCAAGTTCCGTTTTTCCAATCTTTTATGTAAGAGAAATCTTTTACGTATGTTTTTTGTATTTCTGTTTTTGGCATTTGATCTATGCTAATATCTGCTTATCATTTAAAGAGGGTAAAATGCTCTCTAATTAGGTGGTTGGTAAAATTTTGGTACTTTGGCTTTCTGTGTTGTTGTTAGCCATGCATAAAATGCTTTCCTATTGATCAGTGTAGAATAGCCAGGGTTTAAACAGCTGACATCTGCTTACTTTAAAAAAAGAAAAAGAAAACAGAATAACAAACCATTTCAGCCTAATCTACCTCAAATGTGTGCATGTAAATGGAGGTCCATCTATTGACCTGCATTCTTTTCAGTTGTGGATTGGTCCACACGGTTTATGAAACCAGGAGGGCTGATTTGAAATGCAGATGTCGAGACAGTGAACTACACCCTCCCCTTTTTCCTTTGCTGTATCTGTCAGGGTGAAAAATGGCTTGCACAAGGGTCAGTCACCCATACTCACTTAATTACTTTCCTTGGACCTACAGAACTGTCACAAGCTGTGGTGGATGCAGGAGCTGTTCCTCTTTTAGTGCTCTGTATCCAGGAGCCAGAAATTGCTTTGAAAAGGATTGCTGCTTCAACTCTCAGTGATATTTCAAAGCATTCTCCAGAGTTAGCACAGACAGTAGTGGATGCAGGAGCTATCGCTCACTTAGCTCAGATGATCCTGAACCCTGATGCTAAACTGAAGGTACATTTAAAAATTATTTTTTTAAATCTCCATGATACCAGTCATTACTGGATACTGAATCAAAGACACTGATGTGGATATTTATTTAGGAAGCTCTTGCTTTGGGCGTTAACAAAAATGTAACTACATAGTTAGTGACAAAGAGTTCTGAACATACTCACAGATTTAGCTACTGGATAAAAGCTGCTGTTCTATGAGGAACAGCTAAACTAATCTTTAAAGTGAATGGTATGAAATTTTTTTAGAATTATATAGTGTATGAAGAACGCAGCAGGTATTTTTTATAGATAAAATTTGCACAATTCGGTGACAAAAAAGGTTTTGCATACTTAAGGTTATACTATAAAACAGTTAATGCTTTGTTGTATTTTAGAATGTACTATCTGCTGTGAACAGCTGTTGTCAAAGGTTTAATGACTCCAGTTTAATTGACAAAAAAATTGTTTCTTAATATAATTTTTCTGTCTTACTCCAGCAGAAATAGAGGACAACACAAAAATGTCACTTCAAACAAATAGACCTGATATTAAAGAATTTTTAGCTGACAGACCAAACTTACGCAAATAAAGATACTTTCTATAGATTTCACTAAATTTGAAATTGTAGTTTTAAATGGTGTATATTTATTTTTTGGGTTTTTAACACATAGCAAGCTTGAGTGGGATAAAACAAAGGAGAAACTTTTATTCAGGAGCCAGTGAATGTTCTGTGCCATTATATTTGTGCATGAATTGACTCAGTGAATTGTAAAATAGCTGTAATTGTTTTCCCTATCCTGCTTTGTTTTCCTTGATGCAATAGATTTTTGTGTTCAGGAGGAGTGTGTGTTGTGGGATGTTTGTATACTATTGATATTATAACAATTTTTATTTACTAGTGTCAGGTGCTGTCAGCTCTAAGCCAAATAGCCAAGCATTCAGTGGATCTCGCAGAGTTGGTGGTTGAAGCAGAAATTTTCCCAGTTGTGCTCACATGCCTGAAGGACTCAGATGATTGTGTCAAGAAAAATGGTGCAACTTTAATTACAGAGATAGCAAAGCACACGCCTGAGGTAAAACCTTGAAAATGCAAATACAAGGTCATATCATTAGATTTTACACTTTAAATAAAATACAGGATTATTCTGTCATTTGCTTTTTGAAAGGGAGGGCAAATAGCTGTTTGGCATGTTCATTGGAAAAATATGGAAATGCTTGCTGATATTATGAGATGTGTATTGAATATGAATTGGGTTAGGAAACTGGGAATCATATAATGTATACCTAGCTACTTCATGCCAGAAAATATCTGCACAGAGAGGGAGTTTTAGGCTGATGGTATTGTCAGTCCTAGATATTAAAAATACCGTGAGAAAAGCCTCACAGAAGTCATGATACCAGCTAATAAATGACAAGATCATCCTATAACGGTAGTAGATGGTGTGCGTCTTTTTAAAAAAATCTTCTGGGGTGCTGGGATCACATTTTAATTATTTTTCCAATGACAATGAAGGTAAAAAATTCTCTTATTATTAAACTGCTGGTAGTTTCTTTTATTAGTTTGAGTTTGTAATCTGAGTCTCAGCATTTGCAGTGCTTTTGTCAATAATTGATACAGGAAGGTGGGGATGTTTGGGAAAGTCAATACAAAATAAATAGGAAAACTAAATAATTATGACTGTGTTAATCTGTCAGACCATAGAGATAATTAAAAGGCTCTAAATGTGACTCTGGAATGACATACAAGCAGTCTATTTGTGGAATACACTAATGCTGAGTGTGGCCATTTCAAAATCGTGATACTAGCTTAACAATTGAGAAGCGTTTAAACATGAATATTGTGCTGTTTCTTCAGCCTGCTAGTCTTTAAGCTGCTGGTGCTAAAGGTTGCAGACTTGTCACATTTCCTGCTTTCTCTCTGCACCTCATCAGCAATGCAACTTCACTTTCTCAGACAAGTGAAGAAATTATCGTTATTAAAGGGAGGCACTAGAGTTGGAAGACAGAGGCCAAACTCACAAGACTGCAGGTAAAGTCAGAAGAGCTGCTGGCACAAGATCCTCCGTGGAAGGAGAATTGGCCATTCTAGCAGCCCTCCGAAGGAGTGGTAGGAAGTATCTTGGTGACTCCCAGTGGGAAGTCACAGTCCGCATTTGGCTTTAGAGTGGCCGTGATCTCTGTCCGTCTCTGAGCAACTCTATTCAGGCAACACATGTTGCAGCAGAGACAGATTGGCAAACGATATTTCTAGAGGAACTGGCTGTGTCAGTCATGTGAGTGTTGTGGCTTTTGGATCTCAGCTCTATCTGTATATACACTAAAATTCATGTGAAGGTCAGGATCTGGGGGACTTGGAGTGGGGCCTGAGGATCACAGCACAGCTGAGGGTGTCTGTGCAGGAGCTCTGCATACATGGCTGTGCCCAGACGTAGGACTTGGTCATCACTGGCTGCAGATTACAATCATGTGAACAGTTTTTCCTAGGCAAATACTTTAAGTTTCATCTATCCGTTTCATGAAAAAAAGAATTCCCTTTAAAAGGCTCTAAGGCAACGGTGGATTTTACATTTATATAAATCAACTGGATTGGAAATCCACATGCCTCAGTTTTGTTAATTTGATTTTGACTTTTAAGAATGTGTTTCTTGTGCTTTGGAATCTTTGGGGAAAATGTGATATACCTAACAAGATAGAAGAAAATAATCATAATATGAAATTATTTTAGCTTCTGTGCAGTGTTGATATCATACGTACACTAGTGCTGCCCCTCAGTGATGTGAGAAGTGATACCTTTTGGAAAGAAACATGTTGCATAGCTTGGTATGCACAGCAAGCATCATAGACTGTGGACATGATTATCATTTATAAGCAGGGCTATATAATTTGGCGTTCTGGGGCAAACTCCATTGCCCATCCAGTGTGTTCCCCGGACACCTCCCTCAGGATACTCTAACTTGGCAGAATGGTGTAGTCCAAGTCGGTTTTGGGTATCTGTGACAGTTGTCTTTGGCTTCGTGCCTCAGCAGGGGGATCCACAAAGGCTTTTATGCCGCAGAGGTTATCTAGAATGCAGGTGAGAGGAGGAGTGGGCCTTTCCCTCTGTCCCTGCACAGAACATATGATGTTGGCTTGGGAATGAGTGGGCACTAGTGTCTCAGTAGGTGCATCTTTAAGGGCATTCATATGTTAGGCTGTCATTTGCATGCTTCTTTGGTGTGTACTAATGGAGCTCAGCATATGTCATTCCATGCTATACAGCATCAAGAATTCAGATTCCTGACTTCCTTGCAGTAAAGTCAATCAAAAACAGAACAGCAAAATAGCTTCATTCCTGAGAACTTCATGCTGCACTTAGTGCCCAACTGTCTATATGACACATCACTCTTATTCCAGCTTTATTTTGTAAATTGGGAGCAATACAGTTAAAGACTTTTCTAATGTAGTGCTTTATGCCTGTTGATACTTCACAGTATCTAATCTCTTCCGCTTATCTTTTCAGCTTTCACAGCTTATAGTAAATGCAGGTGGAGTTGCTGCTGTGATTGATTGTATTGGCAGCTGCAGAGGGACTGTCAGACTGCCTGGCATCATGATGCTTGGTTACGTAGCAGTTCATTCGGAGAACCTTTCAATGGCAGTCATTGTCTCCAAGGTTAGCTATCACTTTGTCGTCTTCCTATGATTCTTCAGTGGTATTCTGAGAAAGAGAATTAACAAATTAACACGGGCAGAGAACATATTTTGTGACAGAATTATATATTTGCTGTTGATGAATGCACTTTCTCCTAATAGAAATGTGTCTGAAATTATGTGGTAACCTGATAAAAGTATGTCCTTATGAAGCTGAACCTTTTATCAAATGTCCTGGATTAGTTTATGAACATCCATTTGTATTACAGTACATGATTTTTCTGTGTTGCAATGGCATGGGTACAGAAAATAAGTCAGTGAATTTCTATGGTCTGTTTCCTCTTAAAATGAATATTTGTGGCTACATCAAAACTCTTTTTGAAACAAGAATGTTTAATGGCACTTTCTTTATTGCACTAGCATGACTCTGCCAGTACCTCTAGAGTAGTCTTCAGACTTGAAAAGACATTAGTTTCTGATGCAGTATGGTTTGATTCAGTTATGCAAGTGACATTTCAAAGGAGATAAGCTTTACATTTTCAGGTTTAAGTAAATTCTGCTGGGAAATAATACAGAAGGGAGCTAATTTGCAATATTTGCAATAGGTGAAATTAGCGTGTGACATAATATTCAGATGTGAATAAAGCTAACTAATGACAAGAAGAAGGAAGTAATTTCACTGAGCATTGTTGGCCCATTTTCGCACTACATCAGTCATTTGAAATATACTGTATGAGTGGAAACAGTGAAAACAATAAAACCAGAGGAACAGAAATGTCTCCTAGTAGGAATGCAAGTTAAAAAATGGAAATTGCGACAATGTAACATCAAGAAGTATGCAGGGAAGGTAGGAGTGATCAAAAAATGCTCTTCTGCATTTGAAAACTAAAGAAAGAGACGCTTTTTCCTTGCCCTCTCTGGAGGCCCTTCTTGTCTGGATGTGTCTCTATCTCTCTGCTTTCAGGGATGCTTAGAGCAAATATGCTCCTGCTGTTGGGCGCTTGATGTTAAGTGGGATGAATCCAGGGTTAACTTCACAAGGAAGCACCTAAGTGATAAATTTTTGAAGAGTAATAATGGTTCTTATGATAGCTGAATGAGAGCGCAGTGAGAGATTTTGCAGGGATCTGTGCAAACTCTCATGAAATTAAATATTTTAATGAATGATCCACAAAAGAAACCCAAATAAACTCAAAACCCATTAAAAAAATTGCTTCAGGGGAAACTGAGCTTCTGGAATGGTACACAGTGCTGAGGACAGGGCTTGGTGAACTGGAGCCGTTTGAAAGAAGTGCACTGTGGCATAACTGCGTGCAGTTACACATCTACGATGCTATGATGTAAAGGGATAGATCCGTTCTGTGGTACTGTATCCTGGAAAGAATGAATTTTGAAAAATGATTTCTGGGGTCATACTGGACAAAAACTTCATTGTGGTCTTCTGCTGCAGTGCAGGGGAAAAAAAAAAAGTTCAGTCGTTTTTGGTATTGAAGAGTGGAAGATGAAGCATTGCTGGAAAAGAGAAGTTAATCTATTTGTAGTACTAGTGCATACAGTTCTGTTTGTATTTGAAAAGGATCTTGAAAAACCCCTCAAAATCCCACACAAAGAGTGTGCAGAAAAGACTGAAAAATGATTCATGGGATGGAGAAAAAGGTTTTCTAGTTAGAGGTTTATTAGCCTTGCCTTACCTAAAGTAGCATGAAATGATTCCTATTGAAGTATCCTAGCATAAAATACCAGCTACTAAGTAGCTGCATAATCCTGTGGAGAAAGGATAAAGGCTGTGACCCTGAACCAGAAGAACTTCAGTAACAGCTGGATGCGAGTGAGGCATTCTCCATTTCTTGATGTCTTCAAATCAAGAGCTGAAACCTTTCTGGAAGTGAGTGCATGAGTGACATGAACTACTGGACTCAGGAAGAGGTTGAGAAGTTGAAATTTAGTGCTGTGGATAAAATAAAAAAGAAGACTCAATGATTGAGCCTTTCTGGCCTTAAACTGTTTTCATAGATTCGTAAACACTCAAATTCTTTTATTTTCAGTCTGACAAAACTGAAGCCTTAGTACAACCTGAATTGTGTTACGTATTCCTTTTATCCCTTTAATTTGTGTGTTAGCTCAAACTGCCTTCTATCTTCGAACATTGAACCTGTTTCTCTCTTTCTTTAACTAGATTTATTAAGATTTATTCAGAATTCTTGTGAGTCATGATGCTGTAAAAATATGACACCTCTAGCATGTATTTTCTTATAGCTCATTTTAGAAGAAGAGTGTAAATAGAGAAACATTTTCTAGCAATCTGTATCAATTTCAGATTGTCCTTACCTGGTGTAGATTTGTAAAGGTTGTGCTTTTGATTAATGCTACAGGGAATACCACCACTGTGTGCCTGCTTGATAGAAGAACATGAGGATCATATTAAGGCAGCAGCTGCTTTGGCTTTGGGTCATATCGGAAGACATACTCCTGAGCATGCAGCTGCTGTTGCAGTAGCAAACGTGCTACCCACACTGCTTGCTATGTATATGGACACACACAGTTCGGGAGATCTTCAAATGAAAGCAAGTATATTTGTAGTATCTGCAGTATGACATATTTATTGTAATCAACAGGTATAGGTGCTGCTTAGAAACTACTAAATGGTATGTGCTTTTATTGATGTTCATCGAGTCACAGGTTTCCTGGGTGTAGGGTGTCTGAAGGCTGTGTGTCATTTATTAGGACTGGCTGGTCCTAACGGGTGGGCATATGGTGCACAACAAATCATATGGCACAGGCACAGCAGTCTAGGTCCTCATTTTCTTCCCAGTTTAGATCAGAGTTGCATACACCTGTAAATTCTGTAATTTCTTGTGACTAATTTCTAATTAGCTACTTTTTTTTTGCAAGTATAAGCTCTTGTACAAAATATTATAGTCCTTGTAGTAGATTTGCTAACATTTGTATTATAATAAAACTATAACAAATACTCAAAGCTCTGCTCTTGAAAACATGCAGCTGTTCGTGCTTAGGGCTCTCCTTGTGTGGGAGCTGGTAGAGTTGCAGTTTGGTAAAGTGTATTTTTGAGTGACAGTAAGTGAACCAACTGCAGAGTATAACATGACTGGATACATCTCTCCTGTTGTACCATGGTTCTGTACGCTGAAGTATAATGTTCCAGATCTGTAAAATAACTTTTGTATAGTCATTTTCAGTGGTCACCAAAATATCAAGGCCAAATTAGCTGTACCTGTAATCCTGCTCAAGAAGGTCATTACTGCTGGTGGCAGCCAGCATGGAGTTTGTTTTCAGAAGCTAAGCGCTGATGTACAGCTGTTTCGCTCTCTCTTTCCCTTCCTGCTTGGGCGGTAGTGCACTTGGCTATCCCAGACCAGTAGACTCTCCTAGTATGCTACTTCTAAAACACAATCTTTTAAAATGTGTTTTGATTTAGCTTTCTTATTATATTACGGTACTTCAATTTACTTAAAGGGTCTACTCCTGCTTCCACTGTAGTCAAAGGAAAATTGCCATTACTTTGACTGTAGATAACATAATAAGAATATGATGCACTGTAGGTTTTGAGGTTTAATAAATCTAAGTAAAAGATTGATTCTTCCTTAAGTGACCTGATAGATGTCATAGTATTTATTCAGAAAATGCTCTTTGAGAATTCTGATCAATTTGCTTTTTTTGATCAGGCTTCAATGGTATATAACATGAATTCATGTTGTTTTCATTGTTGTCTTACTAGAGAAATTTTATTTTGCGTTTCAATAGACTAAAAAAGCCTTAAAGAACATCCTTCAGAAATGTACGTATCTTCCAGCACTTGAACCATTGCTGCACGATGCCCCTCCCAATATTATGAAACATATCATTGGGCAGTTTAGTAAGGTAAGACAAGGCTCTGCTTCAGGAGTGATATGTTAATTGTTTTCCGTTTAGCAAGGAAGCTATCTTTCCAAAGATAAAGTCTCTCTAAAGATCTCAGTGGTTTTCTTAGGATCCTCAAGCACCCCCTGCAGAAGCAGTTTGGAGCAACCCCTTCTTTTATCTGATAAAGCTGGATACTGTTTCAACCTGCCATAATTCATCCTAAGACTGGGAAAACAGTTGCTTATAAGCAAGGTGGTTTTTTCTTCCTTGCCTCTTGAGATTAAGTGGAATATTAACTCACGTGCAAATATTTTTACTGAGCCAATGTATCACATAAATTCCAGTCACATCTGTTTTAGATAAAGTACAAGCTGTCTGTACAGGAGTGACTTAAGGCAGGTATTTCACAATAAGCTAGAGTATAGAAGTTTCACCACTTTTATCCTCATTTATTTTCAGCCTCAATTAAGTAAGTATAAAAATCCCAAATCTTTTCTCATCCCTCTCAAAATTTGAAACTGACTGTTGTTAATTACATTGTTGGTATGAGCACAGCGTGTAAAAAGTGATACGATTTAATAAAAATATTTTGAATTATTGAAGTAATTGCTAACTAATCAGAAGATTTCCAGTGTCTGCAATGTTCACCAGCTGTTGGGAGTCCTGCTCAACTACAGACTATCTTTTGTGCAATACATAGTGCAGTGTAGTCTGTTAGCAGGGGATACCAGGCTCTCTTGATGAGATGTTCTTTCTGGAAATGGCCAAATAAAACACTCCTGATACTCAGTTCTGGTTATCACAGATCTGGAAGCACTGCTGTTTGTAGTGCATATTCCTGATTACACTGCCACACTTTGGTTTGTCCTGTCTGCTTGATAAATCTGTGGAAAGAGTGGAGATTTTTGCAGAAGCCAGTGCTTTTTCTGCTCTGTGCTGACTGGGGCTATTAATGAGCTGAGTGCATAGTAATTGGTTATTCAGTGTATGGATTTGAATGTTGTTTGCTGTTGAAGTGGTTTTGTGGCCTTATATCAGCTGATGTTCTGTTTTGTTTCGTTTTTCTTCTTCTCCTACACTGTATTAAACAGTGTTCGCATTAAACAAACTATACTTGTCTGGCATTTGGTTTTCTGAATTATACATTTAAAACTCAGTTCTCTGCAGTAAAAGCATTTATCTCTCCTGTACCATTACTTGGGAATTTCCTATTCTTAGAGCTGTGGTGTATTACTTCTGTGGGCCTATTTATAGCACAGTAAAAGCCTTATTTCCCGGCTGTGCTTCAGAGTGGGGTGCTATCCGTTCTTGCTGCTGGACTGTGTCGTTTTAGCATTATCCTCTTCAGGGTCTGTGCAGTTCTGTGCTGTCTCAGTTGGGGCTGGGGGAAGGGACTGTGTCTCAGAGGTGCTGTCTGCCTTAAGGCCTTTTCCAAGATAGTTTTCCAAGGGAGTTACCCAGCCTGGGAGTCACGGTGTGGAGGAAGGAGGCAGGGAAAGGGCTGTATCCTGTCTCCCTGCTAGTTCCTCCTTGGCAGTTCTTGTGGGAGATATGTGGAAACAGTCGTCTTCTCAGTTCCCACAATGAAACCGTCACAGTCGTCCCTGACACTTCTGTGGAACCCAGAATAGGGAGCAGTCTCTATGCTCCCCTGTTTCTTCTTTATCTGTTTGTTGATAATGTACAGTCTAGAGGGACCAGATAAATGAAGGGTATTTGCCCATATGCATGGCAGAAATCTCATCCTTCTTTTCCTTCATCCTTTTAGACAATCCCTTCCTCCTTTGGGGCTTTTGTTTTACACTGAGATACAGTCAAATTTATGGCTTGGTTTGTCTGACCAGTGTGAAGGCTTACGAAATGCTTTTGCCCCCATAGTATGTAACTCTCCCCACCTCCCTCCCTCCCTCCCTCCCATCCCCTGGACAGAGCCGCATATTGGCATCACTCAGGGAGCGCAGAATGTATTTTCTGATGATTTCTGCTTCTCATCCCCTTTGGCTGCAGAAACTTCACATTTTTGCTTTGTGTGCGTGTGTGTTTGTAAAAGGCTTCCATGACTACACAGTGTGTTGTAGGATTTTAATATCTAGGAATTTAATAGCAGCATGTAATGCTTCAAGGCTGCATTGTTCACTTGCAACAATTCTCAGTATTGTTTTCATGCGCTAATCTATACTAGATCATTATAATGATATAAAATTCTGCTCTACAATTAAACTGTGGGAATTGACATAAAAGACCTGAATAACTTGGTTTAAGTGGAACAGATGCTGTTGTTATTCCATGTTAGTGTGCTGTTTTTATTATCTATTTAATCTCCGCAATCTTTTTGACTCCGTAGGAATAATTCAAGAAATATTATTTATGTAAAGATAAATATTCAATTCATTTTTGCTTTGTGTGCGTGTGTGTTTGTAAAAGGCTTCCATGACTACACAGTGTGTTGTAGGATTTTAATATCTAGGAATTTAATAGCAGCATGTAATGCTTCAAGGCTGCATTGTTCACTTGCAACAATTCTCAGTATTGTTTTCATGCGCTAATCTATACTAGATCATTATAATGATATAAAATTCTGCTCTACAATTAAACTGTGGGAATTGACATAAAAGACCTGAATAACTTGGTTTAAGTGGAACAGATGCTGTTGTTATTCCATGTTAGTGTGCTGTTTTTATTATCTATTTAATCTCCGCAATCTTTTTGACTCCGTAGGAATAATTCAAGAAATATTATTTATGTAAAGATAAATATTCAATTCATTTTTTATATATGTTATGTTTTAAAATACATGTTAAATTATATTATAACCATAAAGGGCTGGTTTATAATTTTTTCCTGTAAAACTGGGTGTTAAAATACAGTAGTCACAGATGCTGTACCTCTGATGTTCCCATTTATCTGTCCTCTGAATTAAAAACAGATAAGCAATATTATAGTAGCATAGAGATTCCTTTAAAAGAAAATATTATTTTTTTTTAATGTATTTTTCTGTGTGTAGGTGTTACCACATGACAGTAAAGCACGTCGTCTCTTTGTAACAACTGGTGGGCTTAAAAAGGTTCAAGAAATAAAAGCAGAACCTGGGTCACTTCTTCAAGAATATATCAACACTATTAACAATTGCTATCCAGAGGAAATAGTAAGGTAGGGAATACGAAATTTAAGAATTTCATACTTTTTATTAGATGTTTTTCACAGGAACAACACAAAGCAAGGATTTAAAATATTAATTTAACTTCTATGTGATTTTTGTTTTTAATAAAACCGCGTAACATTTGGTTAACTGCCCCAGTGGCAACACAACCGCTAGACACATATTTTGAACACTTTCACTTTTCTGATTGTTTTTGGAATCAAATTTCTTTGTCTGTAAACAAAGCCCAAATAATCGGGGTCTTGCAGGAAGCTGGGAAGAAAAGTCAGTCCTGCCCTACCCAGACAGACTCTGAGGCTTCAGCACAACTGCCCTCATATTAATGAATGTCTATGGGAAGTTTAGTTTATCTCGGTAACTTATGTATGGATTGCTCAGGCTGCAAGATACAGGTATTGGTGAATCTTCGGTTGCATTCTTGACTTCCCTAAGAGCCTGACTGAACTAGCATATTCAGAGGCTCCTTTGAAACTTCCTCTGATGTACAGAGGGTCCAGAGGCTCTCCTGCACAGTTGCTCTGCCCACAGCTGCCCTTCCTCCCCCAGCCTCATCATGAGGCTTAAGTGTTATATAAAAGGACCATACACCAGCTGTCTGCACCAAGTTGAACTTTGCCCTTAATGAATACAGAAACACTATTAAATAGCTTACAGTCAAAATGTCACCGTCCTAAATTGTAATAATGAGAGAAATGCCCTCCTAGATTCTAGATATCCATTTACCAGTCCTTCACTCCATCAACACATCAAAAGGATGTTGTACTCCTGCACTCCCTCTACAGGCTCTGAAAATCTGCATCATCAATTTTAATTATAGCAACAGAGTTCTTCAGCTAATAGTAGCTACAAACGAAGTCACGCAAAATGAAGCCCTGTTTATCTCCACAAGGGAAAGCCAGTCGCTGTCAAATGGGCAAAAGCAGAATCATAAAGAAACTTTATTCTGCAGCTAACACTTCAG